GCCCTAAACTGTATGATAGCCCTCAAATCTGCTGTCCCTCTCTGAGTTTCTGAGAATATCCTGGAGTTTCTTTCTTCCCACAGTGTCCAACATACTGTAGCCCTTAGTCCTCTCCACATTCTCCTTCCCCTTTTTAACCGCCACCTGAAGAAGAAGGGGGCGAAAATATTTTCATTAACAAAATATGTGACATTTATAGGAAAACAAGTTTTCTTCCTAGAATATATTGTTATTTTGCTTTAGTATGTTACTTGAAAAATATAGGACCTTTCCAAGAACCAAAAGAGGAAGTATGATCAATCAAAGTATTTTCTATAAGCATGGAAGAATAGAGCACAATGGTATATTAACCAAAGCAAAACTTTAAGGAATATAAATACATAAGATCTAATAATAATCAAAATGGACCACAACAAGCCCAATATAACAAAACTGTGCCCATAAGAAAATTACTAAACAATCAGTCACAAGACAACTACATGATACATAAAAACAAAGCCATACATTTTCCACCTTTGACCTGGCTTTAGCTTCAAGAGTCGCCAACTCTGCTTCCTGCACACAAAAATAAAGGAACCTATAAGAACTTAGTTCAATGGCACTGGAACCCAGTCAGACAATGAGTATAACCAATATGTAATCACTGAATCCTTTCTCTTTCCCCTTTTTTATTTCAAATAGCACCAATGTTAAGCATAAATTTGGCTATTTTAGCATTCCTTAAATAGAGGGCCTTGGTGCAACAGTTGGGTTGCTCCATTGCGACCTGGGTGACCACAGCCCAAATCTAGGAAACAGTCTCTCTATGTATCTACAAGGGTAAAGGTTGCACACATATGTCCCTCCCAAGACCCTGCATTGGTTGGAGTCTTGTGCATTGGGCTGCCCCTTTAGGCTTCCTAAATAACATAATACCAGAAACAATGAACCTTTAAATCCAATATGCCATAAGACGAAAAGAGAGAATGGTGTGCCCTCTCATTGAAGGAGAAAGGTATGCATCAAGGTTCAAAATCAATTGAAATAGAAGTGTGGTGGTGGGTATAAATGTTTTTGAAGAGGAGTTGGGCTCATTTGCGGAGATTCTGGGGTGTGAGAGAGGTGTGTGGCCTTTAAAATATTTAGGCTTACCTCTTGGAGGCTTGTCAGCTTTCGGAACCCGTTGGTGGAGAGAATTGAGAAAAAGCTTGCTGGTTGGAAAAGGAATTACATCTCTTTAGGGAGGAGAATTACACTGATCAAATCCACCTTAGCCAACCTTCCTGTCTATTTTATGTCTAACTTTAGGATGCCTCGAGCAGTTGTGAAGAGAATTGAAAAATTGATGAGAGACTTCTTGTGGGAGCTAGGAGATAGATAAAAAAAAAAAAAGATCATATGGTTAGGTGGGAGAAGGTGGTCAAAAGGAAGGAAGAGGGTGGGTTGGGTCTAGCAAATATTAGGAAGAAAACCTTGCTCTTTTTAAGTGGTTGTGGTGCTTTTTCCCCTTGGAGAATGATAGATTGTGGCAAAAAGTGATGTCAAGTATTCATGGGCTTTCTAGGAATGGTTGGGGTGTCGGTATTCTGCAAAGAGCTAACCAAGCAACACCATTGAAAGCATTGCATGGTATTCTTCCTCAATTCCTTGAGCACATCAGGTATGACTTGGCCACTAGTAATAGGATCAAATTCTAGGAAGATGTGTGAATTGGGGATCTTCCCTTGAAAGTGATGTTCCCTTCTTTGTATGCTCTTTCAAGCCTTAAAGAAAACCATGTGCCTGATTTCTTTGGGTCTTCTTCTTCCCCTAGGGAGGATTGGAACTTGGGGTTTATGAGAAAACTGAAAGTTTGAAATCCCTTCTGTGTCTAACCTTGTGAATATCTTGGATAACTAAGTTTTTAATGAGTCTGGGAAAGATGGACGGGTGTGGAATCCCAGTCCCTCTGGGATTTATGAAGGGAGGGTTGGAACTTTCCATCTCTTTATTTCCTGCCCTTTTGCTTGTTGTATTTGGGAATGGTTCTGCTCTCTTTGGTTGCAAGTGGATCCCTCCTGGTAGTTTGGAAAGTCTCTTTAGCCCTCCTTCCTGAGATGCACAAAAAAGTCAGAATTTTGTGGAAGTGTGCTAGAGCAGCAATAGTGTGGACTGTTTGGGAGGAAAGAAACTTAAGAATCTTGGAGATAAAGAAAGAAACAATGAAGTAATCTTGGAGACTGCTATAGCTAGAGTTGCTCATTGGGTGAGGACTTTCAAGCTAAACTGGAGGGGTTAGAGGGATAATGAATGTGATTCCCCTGTTCTCCTACAATCAAAGTTGGAGAATGTCTTTTGGATCAAAACTCCTCTGATGGTAGGATTTGGTTTCCTTCCGCTAAGGGACTCCTCAGAGGTAAACTTCCTAAAGAAGGAAATTTGGTGTAAGTCTATCCCTCCCAAAGTACAAGGTCTTTATTGGGAAGATAAACGCCTTTGACATGCTACAAAAAAAGGGTGAGACCCTTCCTCATTTATTAATCTCATGTTCTTTTGTGTCTTGTAATTGGGATTCTGTTCTCTCTTTGGTTACAAATGATACCCTACAAAATATGGTAAGCTTATTCCATCTTCTTGACGCAACAGGAAAAAAGAAAAGAGGATTGATTTTGTGGAGGACAATAAGAGTAGCTTTGGTGTAGAATATCTGGGAAGAAAGAAACCAAATGATCTTTTATGAAATATGTAGCTTTGGACTTCTTATGTATGCTCTTCTATGCATTTATTGGAGCATGACATGTAATTAGATAAAGGTATGAGTTAGATGGCACATGGCAGATTCCAGCATAAAAATGGGAAGTATATTGTATATAAACTAGTTTTCATTACCATCAAATAGAATTCAACAGTTACCAATTAAAAAAATCTTGAAATTTCAATGTAATCCCAGAATTTACACCAATCAGGTAGAAACATTGCTGGAAAAATAATTTTGAATGTTCGCTCTTTTTGGGGCACACACTATATTGTTATGACCATTAGAGTTTGCCCCTTTTCTGAAAACCCAGATGACTTAAGTCAACCCTAATCTATTTTCTTATGAAAACCCAGATGACTTAAGTCAACTAGTCATCAATCTAGGTAATACTTGGTAATACCTTCGATCTCAACAAAAAACCCTTAGAGCATAAGTTGGAACCAAATCTCAATTATAGAAGCTTTTTTATTGGTAGCAGTCAAGCAATCAAGAAATTTATTAGTATATCTGATATCAGAAAAAGAAGAAAAAACAACAAAACTCCAGGCAGATAACCAGATCATCCACCTAAGATACAAAAACAAATTACTCCTCATAAAACCTCCCCTGACAACTGAGTCAGTTGGCAGAGCTTCTAATCCAGTGGAATGAGGTGCTCCCTCTTGCAGCCAATGCTCCTTGTTCTTTCTTGTCTTTCTCTATTTCTTTACTATTCTCAAAGTCAAACACCAGGCTCTAACAACACATTTTCCTCCAGCAAATATGAAGTCATATAACAAACATGAAAGTTATGAAGCAGATGAAAAGTGAAATGCATGATTGCACAAGTCCATACTTTTTAAGTGAAAAAATAACTCAGTTCCCACAAATGATGAGACCTACAAATTCAGCCCAACATTGATATATAAATAAATAAACTGCACCTCAATCTGTTTAAGTTTGGCTTCAAAAAGCTTTTCCCTGTCTTCTGCCTACAGAAATTTATAATCAGATAAGTTAAAAGATCAAAAAATGCAATATCACTTAGAAAATAATAAATGTAAAATCTTAAGCACACAAATTATTACATTCACTCCCTACCTTGAGAGTCCAGCCATCAGGAACAGGACAAGCAAGAACAAAGACACGATCTATAAGAACAATAACAGGTTCTTTGCCTAGACTTTTCCAGGGAACCTACAGTTAAAAGTTCAAAATCTTAACCTTGATCTTCCCAAAGTTATAAAGAACCCAAAAACTCATGAAAGAAGCCAAATTGAGTAATATCAAATCTGTGAATACATATAGTGCCAAGTGAGCTCTACAGAGTATAACATTCAATGACAAATAAATTTGCAAGAATGAAAATCCCCATATCATCATCACCTAAGCCTTATCCCAATTATATGGGGTTGGGTACAGGAATCTTGTTTCACCATTCTGTTCTGTGTGGTGCCAACAATGAAAATCCCTAAATAATAGTATAAGAAACCAATTCTCATGGTAACACAAAAACATATTAGCAATATTCGGTGCATCCAAGTAAATAACAATTGTAACAGCTTCAAGAATCAATTCAATAGATGAGCATACATATCTCAGCCAAGCAACAAGCATTAGAGATGGATTCAACATATGCATACCTTTTGCTGATTTCTTTTTTTGAAGAGAAAGATAACTTATTTTTCAAAAAAGGGGGGAGGGATGTAATAAGAGATGTACAAACAGGCCAGAAAAAAACAAAAAAGAAGGCTTGTGCTCACTGCATTGCACACTGGAAAAAAAAATATACTTGATCTTTTCCAAAGCTTTTCAGTGACTGATATATTAAGGGCATGGACTGAAGTGGCACAATTTTCCAAAGTTCCTCCCTCCTCACCCCAAGTTCCTCCCCCTAGCTCTTCAGAGACCTTACTCATGTTTTCTTCTCTCCTTTTTCTCTCATAAGCTTCCAAGGCTTTCCTTACAACATTCTCCCCCTCAAGAAGAACAAGCCCAGGGATTTACCAACTTCCACCTCTCTGTCTACTAGAGTCTTCAAATCCACACAACCTTTCTTTATCTCCTTATCCTCCTGAACAACCTTAGGAGAAACCTCACTCGAATTAGACTCATACCTCACAGTTTTGTCTAACAAATCAGGATTGAACAGCTTCTCCTGGTTAGAACCATCCAGACGAGGCTTATTTCTGACCCCATTAGATGAGAATGAATAAGCCAGGGAAGATTTCTCCTGACTGGAAGGTCATAGTTTAATCCCTCTTCTTTCATATATCTTTTTATACTTACTTGTTGGTCCGGCTCCCACCAGGCCCTTGAGAAAACCTTTGTGATATGCACTACATTGAGATTGCTTGAAGATCTGGTCTTCCTTGGGCCTTCTGAAGCTTCACCCTTGACTATTGCACTTGACTCTTTTCTCCTGCGACCCAAGTCAACTCCCAACCAACCAACAAATACTTCCAAGACCTGGTAACCAGTGTCGGTCCTATGGCCCTCAACTTGACTTGTACTCCCTAAGTCAGAGACTGCTTGCCCTCAACTTCTGAAAGACCGTCCTCTTCTTCCTTGTCCCCTCCCTCCTTCCAAACCTTGAAATTCCCTTCCACCTCCTCTGCCCTAGCTCCTGATCCCAGATCCTTCTCTGAGCTTCCTCCCTGTAAACTAGAAACCAAGCCCCTAAACTCCTAGCTTAACTCAAGCCTCGAAGAAATAGGTTTCAGCTCTACCTTCTCAACCCCTGGACTGAGCGCCTGAGCAACAAACAGATCTTTGTCAAGACCGCCTTGAGAATGCTTCTTAGAACTCAAAGGAACTTCACGATTGAGATGGTGTGGTCCAAGAGTTTGAACATCAGAAGCGCAGCTATTTGCAAACTGGTATTTGAGGCGTTCCGAGGAGACCTAAAGCCTGCCCCTTTCTTGAAAACTCTTTTGTCGACTCTCCCCCCTCAAATTCCAAGAACACCTCCAACTAAGTCGTTGGCCCCATGCCTCTTAATATCAAACCGTTCTATCCTTGAGGCATGGGCCCCTCTGTTTGTTTTCTCCAAGTCCCTAATCAAGGAACTAAACAATTTTTCGGAAATGCCTCCCTGTTTGGAGACTCCCACCATGTGTTCCTTTTCACTAAAGAGCTCTTCATTTCCCAGATGCAAAAATACATTTTTACCACCCCCCCCCCTTTTTTATCTCTGTTGGGCAGAAAAGCATAGGGCTCTAGTTTGTGCTTGAGCTTGATTCAAACTAGAAATACTAGCTCAAATTTGGCTCGACTCAAAAGTTCTTATGTTTAAGCTCGATTTTTCTCTCAAACAAAATATGTTTAAGCTCGATTTGGCTTGAGATATCCAAGCCTACTTGAATTCAAACTTAATACTTGCAATTGCTTTAACATTTAAAAACCAAAAAAAAAAAAAACTGTTGATATCCTTCAAAAACATATATTTCAATTTAATTCATAAAATTACATAATCATCAATACTTAGGAGTTTTGGTTCATTGCATGCATTTCCATTTAATACATAAAAGATACATAAGTTCAATACATAAATTGAACAGTTTGATACACACATCAATCAATATTTCATACTTCAATATACAAAAATATAGAAAATTAATAATTAATTATTTTATTACATTACCCTACTTCTTATTATTCATAAAGAAAAACCTGGATGATTATTCATAAAAAATTAAAACATAAATAAGCTCAACTAGGCTGACAAGTTTCATTTATTGAGCTTCATACTATTTGAATTCTAGTCAAGCCTATATACTGGGAGCAAGGATTAGCTGAACACGATGGCTATTCAGCGGGCTGTGGAACCAATGATAATGTTCCATGCCAATAATAAAATACATGGGACCCTTAGGAGACCCATCTTCAACCTGAAAAAAGCCTCTGATACTTGAACTGTTCAATGATGCTTCCTATTCTTAAACCTTCTCACTGCATTAGGCAACTGTTCTCCATCATTTGAATCTTTAGGCTTATCAATAATCCTTTCTAATTTGAGGACCACATTCTTTTAAATGTCTGGACCGCCATCTGCTCTCCAAATCCTTCAGAGTCTTCTACCTCCTCAACAAAACCTCACAACCTCTCTTGATTGTCCATTGGCCCTCCTTTTCCATCCACCAAACCATAGTTTTCTTCTGCTTCTTCCTTAATTTTGAGGTTCCCACAGTATTTTTCATCAAACTCTCATGTTTGAGACAAGAAATTGGCAACTTGAAAAAGGAGAGAATCTAGTGGTAATACTCCATGGGAAATTGGCAACTTGAGAAAGGAGAAAATTTATGAGCAAGTAGGTAATACTCCAAACTGAGAACCACTTATTCACAAAATGCTAATAAAGTTACCTTTAATGTAATGGTACCAACAAAGCCAGCTTTGACGGTAACAGGGAGTCTTAGTGAATTTAGTGCCTCTGCTTTTAACGTCAAGTCTCTAAGTACAACATCACCTTCATGGAAAGGAAAACAAAAATTAGCTAGACATTTTTTGAGCAATGTAACTACAAGTCAGGGTACAATACTCCACATGAAAACAGCCAAATAATCAAGTTGTGAAATAACTCCAAGTAAAAATTACTAGTTAACAATATTAGAACAATGGAACATTTTACCACCACTTATGGGAGAAAAAAATAACAACTAATAGATTTGGGCCATTTTAAAACCTATAGCATCAGAAGCATTACCAGTCATGTGCGCACTACTACAATCACACCATCTTCATTTGTAAACACTCCCTCAAATCCTAAAGTTACAGGGCCATCCAACGAGCTTACATCAAAGTTCAGTTTTATTCTTTTATGCGAGGGGGTTTGCATTCCAAAAACAAAATAACCATGTATTTCACAATTGAAGACTTTGCCACTTCTCCCCAAGGCTTCTAATGGGGGAACTGGGACTGAATAGAAGCCACATCTTTTTAGGCTGCCTCATGAAACTGGGACTGAATAGGCTAACCACTTCTTCAAAAGGCTTCTAATTGAATTTGTTTTTCAGGGGAAGAGAGTTAAAATGCAAAGCTTGTGAATTGGGGAAATCTATTCCTTTATATAATACTTGAAATACAAAAGTTCATTTCCAAGTTCTGAGCTTAAACAATAAAAACAGATTCATTCCCGACACAACACAATGCCATACACATCAAATACCATATACTAACATTTTCATGAGAAAAGAAACACAGAAAGAGCAAAGGTAAGATAAATAGAAGATATTAAACCTGAAGCATTCAGTATAGTTGAGGATATGAAAATGTACGGGACAATAAAAATGGTTCATCACTTAGATTGCACAGAAGCTGAACTACACTCAAAGACAAGTTAATAAGGTACTAACAATGTTTAGGATTTTCGCAGCATAATGTCATAGAGGTTCAAGAAGTTCAGTAAATGTAATACTTCAGATACAAACCTTTCCACACACTGATTCTTAGAGCCTCTGCTGAGAGCCCATGAACATATTCACCAAGATATTGTCGAAGCAGGTGCAAAGCCTACAAACCATATAGTTCTCTATCAATTAATGAAATGCAAATAAAGAAAATGTGAGCAACTTCCATAGCTTCATTACCAAAATTCCAAAAATGGAATTAGTTCAGCTTGCAGAAAAACAACCCAAAACAAGTACTAAAAACTTATGTCTATTGTATAAACACTTTTTTTGATAAGTAACCATGAAGTTATTCAGTCGTTATAAACATAATATACAATCAATTATACAACAATGGAGAGCAAAGAGTACCACCCCCCCCCCTTTGCTCATTTGTGTCAAATAAGCTAGGAAATTAAAAGGAATTATTACATAGGAGTGTTCTTAAGAATCTGGAGTGTCTGACTCCAACATAAACACACATCCATGCAAGACTAAATAAAAGGGTTTCACTGGGTAGTGAGGGACAAATGACAAAGATAATTAGGTGAGTTTGAATAAAGCACAGGTGGTTGACCATAAATTCAAAAGGAGCAGAGTTAGTTTAGTTGCTAATGGGGAAAAACCTTAGTTAAGCATTCTTTTCTTTATTATTATAACTGGATGAATTAATTAAATTTAAACCAAAGAGATACAAGAATTAAGGAGGGAGAGATAAACTCTCTTAACTCTCCCAAACCAGAATCACAGCATTACATCAGAACCCAAAATATATTTAGCTAAGCATTCAATTGGCAACTCAAATAGATTTAGAGCCCAAAGCAATCCAAGCAAGCAATGCTTAAGGCCTCTATAACTAAATTGAGAATTAATTGGATCAAGATGTTCATCGTTATATAAAGAACAATGGAAACAAGGATCCTTACGTGCGCCTCAAACATGGTGACGGACCAAAACGATCCTCATGTGCTGCAAACGAACCGAGCTTCTCTTACGATCGTTGTCCGGATCGGTGATCGACAGCGAAGAACTGCAGTGGAAAGAAATTTTTCTTCGACCAGTCCGATACGTGAGGAAACCCAACGCGCGATAAACCTAAATAGCCGGACGGTTGGAAGAAACGTGTGTCCGGAAAGCAAAAAAAATCATGGAGAAGAAAAAATGGGGTTGATCTTTATAACCAGGTGTCTGATGAGTTCGCTTTCGCTATCCCTCCACCTAGCGTATGCTGCTGCACCCAAACAGTATACACGTCGCCAAGCTCAAATACGCACTAATAATTACAAACATCCAGCGAAAAAATAAGGGTCAGCTTGGCTCGTGGGCAGAACAATATCAGAATTGGAATTGTATCCACTATTCTTCTGTTCAATCAGTAACCCGAATTGGATTCCCATTGTTGTTGTTTGGTTCATTGGGAGCTCGAATTAGAATCGACTGAAATTTATCAATTTTAAATTAGTTTATTTATTATTTTAATAATATTTTATGAATATATAATTATTATGTCATTAGTACTTTGTTATTAGTATTTATAATTATTTATTATTAATTTGTGAATATTTTATTAATATATAATTATTATATTATTATATTAATAATATTTTTATTATTATTTTGTATTAATAATTTATTATTTTATTATATTTTACTGCTATTTTCTTATTGATTTATTAATTTCCATTATTCTTGATTATTATTTTAAAAACAATTTATTATTATTAAATAACTAATATGTTAGTATTTTATTATTACATTCATTATATTATATTAATATTTTATTTCTACTTTACTATTGTTATTTCATAAATATTATTTTCACTTTTATAATTACTTTGTTACTATTATTTTATTGGTATCTAATAATTAAAAAATAATATTTATGCATGTTTTATTAATATGTCATTATATCATTCTACTTTAGTAATATTTTTATTATTGTATTTTATTGATAATTTATTATTTTCTTATTAGCTTATTAATATTCTACTACTTTTGTTTATTATTTTAGAATTAATTTATTATTATTTAATAAATAATATGTTAGTATCTTATTATTATGTTAATTAAAAACATAACTTAGCAATACTAAAATTCATTACAAGCTAAACTACCAGTGGTTTTTATAATAACACTTGTTCTTGCCAAATACGCAACTGAGGGCAACAACGTAATTTCAAGTGCCTGAGGCCAATGGGTCCAACCTGCTAAGAGAAAGAAGATGTTAGAGGCCCCGAGAGTTACCCCAGGGGCGTAGACTATGACAGTCAAGTTAGCCAAGAGCTGTAAGGGTCAAACCAACAAGAGAGAAAGCTTAGACCTTAAGTTTGTGTGGTTACCTCAATGTGCGAACCCCTTTTATAGCCGGAGTTGCCTTAAAAGATGTGCAATTGAGATTAGGCGGCGGTTGGCAGTAATTGATGATGGATGGCCAGGATGCATTCGGCAGACGCCACATGTCAAGATCCACAAGTCAGCCATCCCTACAACACTTGCCCCCTACTCGGTTGGCGAGTTGTGTCGAGGCCTTGGCTTTGGCTGAAGAGAGTATGGAAGATTCACGTAGAGGCATCGACCTCGGATGCGAAGCTCTTCTCAATGATTGTATGACGATTGCTCCTCTATCCATCCTTTGTGTCAGTAAATGATCATTCCAAGCCGAGGGTATGTGACCATGGCCCGTACGAGCATAGGCTACTTGCGTGCATTGCCTGTGCCCCATATGAACACTGATGTCATCTGTCGTATGTCCATACACAAGACAAGCGTCAGGGTTGATTGATTGAGGCTATGCATGAAATGGCACGGGGGGGGGGAGTCCAGTTCGGTGCATCCTTGAGCCGGAGTCGACAAGCGAATCGGCCCTATCTCTTGGCATCGTTTTGACTCCCGAGGTCAGTGCCACATGGAGCCCGTCGATTCGAGCTATCAGGTTGGTCGATCCATAGCCGTTAGATCTATCGAATATGGACCGTACATTTTCCTTTAAATAAGGAGGCTGGTTGAGCGAGACTTCACCATTTGCTCGAAACCTTTAGTATTGGAGCTATTGAAGACACCTCGGCTTTCCACAACCAATTCCTTAGATTTCCTTTTGCTAACATCTTTAGGTAAAGAACCTTTGTCTTTGACATGTCGACCTTGGATTTTGATTGTGAAGCTTATAACCTTCCCGACTGGAGTACTCCCGTCACCACTCCTACAAGCGATGGGAGTGACAATAGTAATTGCGATAGTTCCTCTCGGACGTACAACGTCTAGGTATTGAGGGAGAGGGTCAGGTCTCGTGGAGCCGAACACGACCAACAAAGTACGAATTCTGCCAATGAGAGTACTAATTTCATGTGACTGAGGGCCAACACTACCGGATATGTTCATGCCCTTCTTGAAGTGATGGATGTAGAATAAGTGGAGGAACGGGCCGAGGCTAAGCGCTGAGACGTGACATAGGGGTGTTATCCCAGCTCTGAACTAGACAACATTCTCGACAAGGAACATATTAGGACTTTGGCCAAGAAGTACAACATTCCAGGGACTATAGGATAAGTGTCCCCTACATTGGTGATAGGTCGTGGCTCACCCCTGAAGGGGAGGTGTACGTCCACAAGCATTACCTTCACTTTGGATTGTGGTTTCCCCTACACCCCATAATTTATAAGATTTTGAACCACTATAAGCTCACCCTTAACCAACTTGCTCCCAATGTCATTAGGACAATAGTGGTTGCATTAGTGACTAACGACCCATGTCCGGGGGGGATGTATTTGTGACTAAACATATTTAAGAGTTTGTTTACATTGAGGAAGCATCTCGACGGGGAAGGCTTGTGGTATTTCCAAGGCCGACGGGGAAAGGTGGTGGACAACCTGTCGTCTATACATAATTGGAAGAAGAAATTCTTCTTTGTTAGTTGCCCCCAAGGCTGGTCCTTTCGATCTAATCGGGGGAACTCAGATATGTTGGCCGAGAGGGTCATTGCAAGTTGATGGAGGATGTTGGAGTGCCATTGGCATCAGTTACACTTTTATACCAACTTAATAGCGTCATTCTGGATGGTTGGCCAGAAATATCATTGTTTGGGTGCTTTCTGTGTCAGGGCCCTACCCCTACATGATTGTTGCATATGCCCTTTCCAATTTTTCTTAGCACTTACTCGCCCTCCTCTCTCAGCAGAGGCATTTGAGATAGGGCAAGGTGAAAGATCTTCTTTCGAGCTTTATCAATTTTAGCCCATGTGCAATTTTATTAATTTTAGCATTATACAAATAGCTATAAAACCCTTAACTATGTTAAGATTAGACAACGGTACTAGCTTGCTTGAGATTTGCATACCATAATAAGTTTAGTGATTCATAGATAGGAATTATAGAATGAAATCTTCATCCTGGACCCATATACTTTATTTCCTAACTTTGCAATCTCTTTATCTAACCCAGGAATCCATAAAGCTTTAACTTTAAGAATATACACTAAAGGATTTGATATGAAACTAGGACCCGAAAATGTTGCCTTAATATACTTTAAGATTGTGACTATGATCTGTTATAATACTAAGATAACAAAAGTTAAGGGAATGACAACCGTATCCCAAACAAATATTAGCAATAACGTTACTATTCCCAAAACCAATTCAATGGAAAGATGTTCAACTTTTAATAATTCCAATAATATAAAAAAGTTATACTTTTAAAATCTACATAGAAAATAGTGTTTTCATATATGTGGTGGTAACAAATTAAACCATTTTGGTCAAATGTGCCAATCCATGTTGCCACAATTAAGTAATAAAATGAAAAAAATAGAGAACATTTTTAACATACATATTAAACAATAATAAGTATGACAAATAAGAAATGTTTTTTATAAAAATAAAAATATTTTCCTATTATCTCACATTAAATCTTATATTTAAGAAGTATTTTTATCACCATTAAATTCTTGTAATTAAATCTATAATATTAATTTTAATAGTATAAAAATAAATATTTTTAAAAGTAATTTGAAAAGAAAACCATTTTCATCCCTCCCGGTGGTGGGCAAGCAATTAAAACATTTGGGGTCAAATGGATTAATAAATAATGTCATAATTAAAAAAATACCATTTTCAAATAAATAAGTATGGAATGTAAGAAGTATTTTTATTAATGATGAAAATTGAATGCCAAATTTAAGATCTACCTAGAATTGAAATGATGTCATGGTTATATAATAAAATTTTTAAACATGGAAAATACAAAGAATCACAAAAAAATAAAAATAAAAAGATAAAGATAAAGAAAATTTTGGGCACATATCCAATGATATATATTTATAAAAAATAAAAATATTGGGTACTTCTCTAATATTATGCATCCATTATATTGAACAAAAACAAGTATTATACATATGAAATAATTTTATCAATGATGAAACTGTAAAACAAAAATTAAAATCAACCTAGAAATCAAACTATTTTTCTTTTTCGGTGGTAAGTTAGTACCTTGGGTCAAATGATATAAAAAACAAACAAAAATTAAGGGTGGTAAGTAAAAATTATTTATATAATGTAAATGAAATATATAAGTTAAAGGAAAAATTATAGTGGAAGTCGGTTTTACATTGAAAATTAGATTGCAGGTTGGTCCAAAAACCAACAAAACTTTGATAACTATCTCTACATTTCAAATTATAAAAAACCCCACCATGTCATCGGAGGCTTACGTGGCTATTGCCAATATGGGACTCTTAATCCATGTTAGATACATCAAAAAGTATATACCGAAAATAGATTTTTAATTTCTCTCCCATTTCTATTGTCTCCCGATCTCCCTCCTCTTCTCTATCATTGTCATAGTCATCTCTCGATCTCCCACTCCCTTTGCTCCACACTCTATCAACTCCGGTCTATAGCCAAAACCTCTCTCACTCTCTCTCTCTCTCTCTCTCTCTCCCTCTTTCTCTCTCTTTAAAAACTTTGATAACTATCTCCCATTCTTGACCCATTAGAACACTTGGACCAATGAAATAGAGCATGTTAGACCCAAAAACACACAAAAACACCCCCACTTAAACCAAGACAAGACAAAATAACATTTAATTTATATTTTCTGCCTCTAACAACCCCAAATACGACACTACCATGACAGCCACACCCCAATCTCCCATTTAGCGCACAAAACCCATGAAAATCACCCCCAAATCAAAAAAAAATGTTTCACCAAATAGGTAAGTTTGACTGAACATCTATTTATTTGAAGAATCTTTGCCTATTTGTGTGAAAAACCTCTATTGAATCTCAGACACTATATTTGAGCGAATTGAGACTTGACC